CTTATGGTTTAAGCCGCTTTGAATTTGGATTTGACTTCTTGCAGCTGAAAGCACTTTGATACATTCATAAACAACTTCACAAGTCAAAGACTGAGGCCTGGTTAAAATAACAACAATAAAAAGAGAATACTGTTGTGCATTTCTATACCAAGTGGTAAAAAAGAAAGCAACTATGCTTTTTTTTTAAACCTATGGTATACGTTAGGCACGTTGTGCTGGTGCAAAGCCTGCATGCTCTTATGTCAAGGAGCCTGCAGTACAAGACTCCAGTCCTTCCATCCAGTGGCAGACATATGGTGGAAAAATGGCCAGCGCATTCACATACATGCAGCTTGTTGGAGGAAACATGTGAAAAGCACATGCTTAATCTGCAAAGAAAAAATGCACTTACAATTAAAAAAAAAGTCTTTGTGTCCAAAGAGTTCTACAGGGTGCACTGTGAACAAACAGGAGAGAAAAAAATAGTCTGAGTTCCTGCTCTCATGAAACCTATCACCAAAAAGAGCAAAAAAAAAAAAAAAAAGAAAAGAAAAATTCAGTTGACCCTTGAACAAGGGTTGAACTGCATGGGTCCACTTATACATGGGTTTTTATTTTTTTCTTTCATTAAATATGTACAGTTCTACAATATCATCTACTGTTGGTTGAATCTGCAGGTGTAGAACCCTGGGTACCAAGTTCAGTTCAGTTTAGTTGCGCAGTCGTGGCCGACTCCTTGTGACCCCATGAATCACAGCACGCCAGGCCTCCCTGTCCATCACCAACTCCTGGAGTCTACCCAAACCCATGTCCACCGAGTCGGTGATGCCATCCAGCCATCTCATCCTCTGTCGTCCCCTTCTCCTCCTGCCTTCAATCTTTTCCAGCATCAGGGTCTTTTCAAATGAGTCAGCTCTTTGCATGAGGTGGCCAAAGCACTGGAGTTTCAGCTTCAACATCAGTCCTTCCAATGAACACCCAGGGCTGATCTCCTTTAGGATGGACTGGTTGGATCTTCTTATAGTCCAAGGGACTCTCAAGACTTCTCCAACACCACAGTTCAAAAGCATCAATTCTTTGGTGCTCGGCTTTCTTCACTGTCCAACTCTCACATCCATACATGACCACTGGAAAACCATAGCCTTGACTAGACGGACCTTTGTTGGCAAAGTAATGTCTCTGCTTTTTAATATGCTATCTAGGTTGGTCATAATTTTCCTTCCAAGGAGTAAGTGTCTTTTAATTTCATGGATGCAATCACCATCTGCAGTGATTCTGGAGCCCCCAAAAATAGTCTGCCACTGTTTCCACTGTTTCCCCATCTATTTCCCTTGAGGTGATGGGACCAGATGCCATGATCTTTGTTTTCTGAATGTTGAGCTTTAAGCCAACTTCTTCAGTCTCCTTCACTTTCATCAAGAGGCTTTTTAGTTCCTCTTACTTTCTGCCATAAGGGTGGTGTCATCTGCATACCTGAGATTATTGATATTTCTCCCGGCAATCTTGATTCCAGCTTGTGCTTCCTCCAGCCCAGCAATGCTGATGATGTACTCTGCATATAAGTTAAATAAGCAGGGTGACAATATACAGCCTTGATGTACTCCTTTTCCTATTTGGAACCAGTCTGCTGTTCCATGTCCAGTTCCAACTGTTGCTTCCTGACCTGCAGGTTTCTCAAGAGACATGTCAGATGGTCTGGTATTCTCATCTCTTTCAGAATTTTCCACAGTTTATTGTGATCCACAGTCAAAGGCTTTGGCCTAGTCAAGAAAGCAGAAATACATGTTTTTCTGGAACTCTGTTGATTTTTCAATGATCCAGCAGATGTTGGCAATTTGATCTCTGGTTCCTCTGCCTTTTCTAAAACCAGCTTGAACATCTGGAAGTTCATGGTTCACGTATTGCTGAAGCCTGGGTTGGAGAATTTTGAGCATTACTTTACTAGCGTGTGAGATGAGTGCAATTGTGTGGTAGTGCAATTTGAGCATTCTTTGGCATTACCTTTCTTTGGGATTGGGATGAAAACTGACCTTTTCCAGTCCTATGGCCACTGCTGAGTTTTCCAAATTTGCTGGCATATTGAGTGCAGCACTTTCAAAGCATCATCTTTCAGGAATAGCTCAACTGGAATTCCATCACCTCCACTAGCTTTGTTCCTAGTGGAGGTACCTTGGTACCTGAGTACACAGGGCTCACTATAAAGTTACTCCCTGATTTTCAACTACGCATTGGTCAACACCCTGAGTCCCTAACCCCCACACTGTTCAAGAGTCAACAAACACATTTACTAAGTATGGTATGTGATGAGGAAATCAGAGGTAGAGAAGTGGGCAGTCAGATACAGTTAACTGTTAGGTTTTCTGAATGTGCCAGGATCTGAGCTTCAATATTATGGGTTAGAAATCCTGGGAGGTTACAGAAACATGGGGCATATAGGAGGAGGAAAAGGTATATTTAGAAACAGGATTGAAAATTTTAGTAGCATGTACTGCTGAGATGGCAGTAGGTACGATTCCAGATGTTTCCACTGCCAGACTGAGGCCAGACAGCAGGGTAAAAGGAAAGAACAAACATAAAATTGGGGATAGAGCCTGTATGTGGAATCGCTATTCCACTATGGCCTGTTGGACCTTAAGTACCTGACCAGTTAGTTACTTAACCCTCATAGTGTCAGTTTCCTCATTTTACAGGGAACATAAGGATGATCATAAGGATTAAATGAGATGAGGCTTTGAAGTGATCTGTACAATTGGGAGGTGCTAAATCATGGTAGGTATTATCACTCTTGGGCTTCCCAGGTGGCGCTAGTGGTAAAGAACCCACCTGTCAATGCAGGAGACAAAAGAGATGTGGGTTCGCTCCCTGGGTCAGGAAGACCCCTTGGAGAAGGGCATGGCAACCCATTCCAGTATTCTTGCCTGGAGAATCCCACTGACAGAGGAGCCTGGTGGGCTACAGTCCATGGGGTCGCAGAGTTGGACTTGACTGAAGTAACTTAGCAACAGCAGCATTATTACTCTTAAATCCATAAGCAATTCACCCAAATTAGTGTCAGAACATTTATAAGGCAAACACAAATGAAACTTGATACACCTATTACATGGGGTTTCAAAAAAAGCTCTTTGCTTTTTTAAACAGCCAACTGGAATCTATTTTTTAAAAATCCTAAATTAAAAGAAAAACAATGATAAATAAGAAAATAAATTGTGATTAACAGATTATAAATATATTTATTGGTAATATTATTGAGTACTGAGTGCAGAGAACAGAATACAAAGAAATCATCACTTAAAAGGAAACATTAATCTTTAAAAATGCAATATATTTACATATATGTTAACCAATTTTACACATCTGTTTAGAGTTACAAACAAATACAAAGCTAATTCCAAAGCTTTTAATCTGAAGTGTTCTCCATTCTAATGTCCACTGTTTTTTGCTGTATTTACATCAAGTATGATTAATTTTGTCTGCAGCTAATCTAAAAGCAAGATGCTATGAGCCGACTCTGAGGCAGTCAGGTAAATCAGAAATTCCAGAACAGCTCTTTAAGACAGGATAAAGTCACATGAAAGAAAATGCCTCAATCCTAGATATATAAATGTAAAAGAGAAAATATTAAGAAGCAAAAAGAATCACAGAAATACCAATTCTATTCTAAATTACAATTTCTAATTCTAGCAACAATTCAATTAGCAGTAGCTTAGATGACTATGTTCTAAAAAATAAAACCATTAGTTCTTTCACCACAATTTTCTGACTATACCTAATGAATAATTATCAAGTCTTCATATCCTTTTTTTTAATAACTCAATAATATGATATAAACATAGCAGAATCATTAACAAGAGGCCTTCAAACACACTGCAGAAAGCTGCAATATGGTTTGGGGGCCAGATTTCAATTTACATAATATTACCATTCATAAAGAGTTTATGACACCTGGTACAATACTGCTCAGCACTGTTAACTCAGAAATGCTCCATCCATTCTTTCCATCAGAGAACAACTGACATGGATGGGATTGTTATGACAATTCTAACAGGGCCTCTAAAGAGGATTGCACATAAAATGAAAAAATTATGAACTATGATATAATCATGACAACACAGCTAGCTTATTGAACTGAATTTTTCACATAATGGTACTACAGAATTACAGTGACATTAAACATCAGAAATATTTATTCTGGCTAACTACTGAGTAGCAAGAGTTTTCCAACTGTATTTTTGATGAATAGAATATCTTTGAAATAAACACTAGGGTGAAATGAAAAGTTTCTCAGTTGAAAATTCTCAAGTTCATTTTTCATAGACACTAACAACAAGCAAAGCAGCTTACAAAAGAAAATCAAACTTATCTTAAAAACAAATAAATATAAGATCAAATCAATCATTTTTGAGGAAAATACAGCTCCTTTTCAAAAGTTCTGTTTGGTTTGTGACTAGACTTGAAAATGTTAAAATAAACCAAACAGGTCCCAACAATACTGATTTGCACTACAAAATCTGAAAAAAGCACTTCAAGTTTTAAGCTGAAGGTTTCATTTCCCCCTACCCTACTATTCCCCAGAGAAAGTAAAGAGTGAAAAGCAGCTCTTGCAAAAATAAACAAAAACAAAACGAAACTACCAACCACAACTAATCATGTAAGACGAACTTTAAACATTTCACCCTAGTTGGTCTTACATTAGGGTAAGGTTTCTGTAGCAAGGATTTCCTAGTCTCATCCTCTATCTCTCATTCCTTAGCCAATGCCACATCTTTGGCAAGCAAGGCTTTGCAGAGCCTTTCCTAAGGGGCCAGGCTGAGCTGGAGGCAGCTTTGGGACAGTACCCTTGACTACAGTATGCAGTTGGTTCCAACAGACAGGTTGTTCTTCTAAAAGGATTACAATGTGTAAAAATGCAAAAAGAAACAAAAGTACAGCCCTCACTGCTTTGCACTAAGAGATTTTAAGAAACTGAGAACAAACACTGGAAGCCATGACACTGGCATCTGTCTCCTCTCCTGGGAGCTCCTTTAATGCACCAGTTCAGGCTGGTTTTCCACGAAGGGCAGCACCCCACTCACATAGTAGGCGATGCCAAGAGACAGCAGAGCGATGACAAAGATCAAGAGCAGCACCCTCCAGAAGCCCAGATCCTCTACAAACTCCTGCCACGTGGTGCGGAAGCTGGACAGGACCCCCTCACCCTGCTGCAGGTTGGGATTGAGGAGGGAATGGCTTTCCATGGCGCTGTGGGAGAAGCAAGGGGAAAGAAAGGACATGAAACAACACATCACCCATTGCAAAAACAGAAAACCATAGAAACTGCATGGTTTAAGAAGACCAACCTTAAAATAAAAACTGACATATATATTCTAACCCATTTATGTACCGGTTTAAATACCCATTTATGTACCGATTTAAATATCTGCAAGTATTTGGACAATTTACCTTGAATCATAAATTGCTAAACAATAATGATTATGTTCCTTGGTTTAGTATCTAGAAGAGTCAAAGTTAGAAGCTCCAAAACTTAGGCTATCTGATACGAAGAGCCGATTCATTGGAAAAGACCCTTATGCTAGTAAGATTGAGGGCAGGAGGAAAAGGGGGCAACAGAGGATGAGATGGTTAGATGGCATCATCAACTCAATGGACATGAGTCTGAGCAAACTCCAGGAGATGGCGAAGAACAGGGGGGCTGGCATGCTACCGTACATGGGGTTGCAAAGAGTTGGACACAACTGAACAACAACAATAAAAACATCCCAACCGTGAAGCAGAAGTCTTGAAAAAGGTCAAGTGAGTCACTTAGTGAGTCATCAGATACTGTAGCAAAATACATTCTGGTTATTTGCAGAGTTCAACACAAGGATTCAAAACTTGAGAATTCATGTTAAGGAAAATAAGCAAAGATGGGAAAATCTAAAAACTTGTTTTATACAGTGTGTGAATCTCAAAGGTGGATTTTTATCAATTTAGTTCAACAATTTGACCAGTGAAGGAATTCCTTCTTTAAACTGAAATACTTTAATAATGGATGCTTACTCTTCAGTCTGTTGTACACTTGGACAGGGCTAGCCATTAGGGATTCCTCTTACTAGCTTCCTCCCACTGGTTTTAGCTCTATCTTGTACAACAACACAAAATAAGTTTACTTCTCTTCTGTATAAAGGCTGAGTCTAGTTGAAAATAAGGTAGTACAAGTACCATAAAAACTATATAAGTGAGAACATGACTGCTACAAATAGAGTGTATCTGACACTGATATTCGAGAGGCTGCGCTGTGATGAGTTCGAAGCTCCAAGAGATTAGCACCCACAATTATGTCGCAACACGCAGGACCAATAACAGGGTGTCATTTAGATTAAAGCCACAATGACCATAATCACAGGTATCAACTACTGACTGCTGTTATGATTCTTCCTAAACTTCTTTTCATATTCTTCTGACCATTTTGGAGCAATGGAAACAGCACAAAACAAGGTCTTAAGAGTCTGGTTCATCAGGCACAAGTGACAGGTTTTTTTTTTGGTAAGTGATAACTTTACTTTATTCACTGACACTGTTAACCACAGCCCTTTCAGCCTTTCCTGGCATTAGTGTCTTTTCTAATCCTGGGAAAATGACTTCGTAAAGGGCCAGTCTGTGTGACATCCAAACTTTTTTTATATGTTAAAAAATGTTTATCTTCTGAATAGGAGAAGTCATTTTCAATGGGAATCTATGACAATACAAAATTTAAAGAAAACTCTAGCAAGTTCAAAGATAAGACTAGAACTCTGAGAAGTTCAGGAGAGGTTAAATTTTGGTTTTTTTTTGGCTCACTTCTCTATTTATTAGAATAACCACATGTGGAGAGGCAGAAAGCACTTAAGTTTTCTATGACTACAAAGTTATCACAAACCCCAAACTTCTGAGCCACAGATATTTCACTTACTCTGTTTAAAGAAAAGGCTTTCAAAACATCTGAGTTAGCTTGATACACAAGGACCCTGAACTCCGTATTTTTAAATGCTTGTACTTCCTGCTCTAATAATGTCATCATTTTGACTTACAAGAAATTTATTGACTACGTCTGATTCAGAATGCTCTCATACTTAAAGGTGTTAGATATACAGGTATCCCCCACTTTTTGAAAGTTCACTTTATGCCACCTCACTTTTAAGAAACACCTACTATACTACCTGTATTTGCTAATTAAAAGAAATCCCAAGAGGATTTTTGCTTTTCTATGAAGAAAGGCGTAAAACAAAAACAGTGTTCAGCGTTTGTCTTGCAGCAAGACTGGCACCACCAGGCTCCTTCCCCAGGAACCTCACAGCATCTCAGTGTCCAGCGGCCCCAGCCCTGAGCGGTGTTTGTGGGCACCTGTGTTTCATCTCAATTTGTTCTGTGCATCTGTTAGTAAGATGAGTCCTAAGGTAAACTGCTTCTTCACTTTATGCCACCTCGACTTAAGGAGAAGGTTCCTAGGAACATTCTACTTTTGGACAGTGGGGGTGGGTGGGGACCTATAAAATGAGACTTCAGTCGCACCTTCTCTAAGAGCTCATGAAGTTCTGACAGTCAGAACTGTCTATGGTGACTTGGTCCGATGAAATATTTTTCTACTATCTAGGAAATATGTGATTCTAGCATGATGGTCTGTGTGTACAATGTGTAATTTTTTGTGTACAGTGTCATCTACACTGTCTCTGTCAGCCCATACCTAAATAAAAAGGAACTAAATTAAATGTAGGTTAAATGGTGTAGGGAAGTATTTTTCATCAACTTGATTTACAGGCCCTTAAGAAGTTATGCTATGTTTCGGGGAATTATAAGGGAACAGGAAAATACTAAATACATTCAAAATCTTGCTTTATCTCCTATTCTAGAAAAGGCTAATCATCACACAGCTATGCCACAATGCCATGTACTATCCAACACCTTTAAGCTTCCCCCTCCTCACTTTTTTTAAATCGATATAATTCATGTACCATAAAATTCGTCTTTCTAAAGTACACTATTTAGTGTTCTTTAGAAAATTCACAAAGCTGCAGAACCACCTCCACTGTCCAGTCCCATCTTGGCCACCTCTGTAATGAGCTCTGCGCCCTTCAGCAGCCGCCACCCCTTGCCCCTCCCCTGCTCCTGGCAACCACTACTGCCTTTTGCCCCTGGCGTCTCTCATGGAGCGTGTTTTCAAAGCTCATCAGTGTTGTGGCACATATCAGTATTTCATTACTTTTTATAGTGGGATAATATTTCCCTGAATGGAGAGATGACATTTTGCTTATCCATTCATCAACGATGGACTTTTGGGTGGTTTCTACCTTTTGGCTATTATAAATTAAGCTTCTATAAAATTTGCATACAAGCTTTTGTGTAAACATGTTTTTTTCAATTTTCTTGGGTATATACCTAAAAGTGAAATTGTTGGGTCATATGGTGACTCTGTGTAACTTTTTGAGGAGTTGCCAGACTGTCTTCCACAGCAGCTATTTTACATTCCCACCAGCAATGTAGGATGGTTCAAATTTTCCCACATCATTGCCAGTACTTGTTATTGTCCATCTTTTTGATTGCAGCCATTCTGTTGGGTATGAAGTGGTATTTCACTCTGGTTTCAATCTGCATTTTCCCTAATGACCAATGATGCTGCTTGTAAGCTTTTTATTTTAAGCTTCAACCACACCTTCCTATCATGACACTAAAGGGCAGGAGTACGACAGTAGTATAAGTATTAATAATTCAATTTTTAAAGAACAAGCTTTACCTAATGCTGTAAATAATACGAATCCTCATACTAAAGTGCAATGGCAGGTATGTGAAAGAAGCAGGAATAAATATTTCACACTGCACTGCTCAAATGACTAATCACTTCTGAGTTAGTAAGGAATTACAACTGAGGCAAAATAAAACATATTTCTAATACAGAGATGCCAAGAAACTGGCTAGTAACAAAATATACCAAACAAGGTCCTGAAAATATACCAGGAAAGAGCACATCTAGAACATTTTTCATGGTAAAGAAGGCCAAAGTCATTATGAAAATAAGTTTCAAGTTATTTTGGAAGCATATGATCTTTAACAAAAAACAACTCAATGTTATTAAATTTCTTACAGCATTCTGACTGCCAATCCAGAACATGCAGGTGAGAGAAGGGCTTGCAGTGCACCGCTGACTTCTTATTTTATGTACTTGCCAGCCTTCAGTGATAAGTCATGAGGAGCATGCACTGTTTTAGAAGTAAAACACTTTAATTTCTTTGGACAATAATAAGTGTTTGCCACAAACAAAATAATCCTAAACTTGAGAGTGGAATCAGTGGTCCCAAAGAAGTACACGAGCAAGTCTGTGAAGAGGGAGGAAGGGAATCATGGGCACAGAGGAATCAAATTAAGGGTGAAGTATGAAAGCCAAAGAGGATTTCACCTGGAACTCACAGAAACAATGACCCCAACAGTCTAAGTGGACCATATGCTCCTAATTCTAAGTCCTGGTCAATCTGCTGCTGAGTCAGTAGCTAATGAGGGCCCCAGTCCCCTGAAAAATCTGGGAGATTATCTAAGTTCATTATACTTCTTACCTTGCAATGTCTGGAAGGCTGAAATTCCACGGTGGTCAACCAAACTACAAGCTGGTACAACTAAATCTGGCCTAGAGGCTTTACCTGTTGAACCCGTGATGCCAACAGAAAAGATGACTGATAACCTTGTCAGAGCTTCCTGAACTATGTTCTAAACTGCTTTTAGATGAGGAATGATGAGATATTTGAGACCCTGTCAGTCACTCCACCTGTCAGTCACTTCAGTTACATATAGGAGCCCAAATTTCATTTGTTCCAGCTCACGTTAAAGTCACTTTCACATCACTGAATTGTATATGTGTTAAATCTTGTCTTACTCTCCTGTTTTACTTTTCCCTTAGCACTTTAATTCCCTGAATTAAAATCTCTGAAACTACCTTTCCTAATATTGTGCAAGTCCTTCTATCTTCCTCTGCCTTTTCTGAAATCCCATTCTTCTTGTAACCTGCACTTAAATTCTCAAACCTCTGTTTCCTTCTCCCCTGTTCGGCTCTCCTCCCGTGTACTGCCAGCACTGCAGGCTGCCCTGCACAGCGGCTAACAGAACATTCTGTGCATGCGGGCACACAGTGCTTTCTGTTAATGGCTTTTCAGTCGTAATCTGAGCCCTAAGGACCAGCAGAGAGTTCAAAGACAGTATCAAGCACTTTACTTGAAAGCAAATAAATATAAAGCTGACAAAAAGTTGTCATAAAAGATTCACTTAATCTAAGACCAGAAACTATAAAACTCTTAGAGGAAAACATAGGCAGAACACTCTTTGGCATAAATCACAGCAAGATCCTCTATGACCACCTTCTAGAGCAATGGAAATAAAAACAAAAGTAAACAAGTGGGACCTGATTAAACTTAAAAGCTTTTGCACAGCAAAGGAAACTATTAATATTAACAAGGTGAAAAGAAAACTCTCAGAAAGGGGGAAAATAATAGCAAATGAAACAACTGACAAAGGATTAATCTTCAAAATATATTAGCAGCTCATGGAGCTCAATGTCAGAAAAACAAATACCTCAATCAAAAAGTGGGCAGAAGACCTAAACTGACATTTCTCCAAAGAAGACATACAGATGGCTAAATAAACACATGAAAAGATGTTCAACATCTCTCATTATTAGAGAAATGCAAATCAAAACTACAGTGAGGTATCACCTCACACTGGTTAGAATGGCCATCATCAAAACATCCACAAACAATGAATGTTGGAGAGGGTGTGGAGAGAAGGGAGCCCTCTTGCACTGCTGGTGGGAATGTAAATTGATGCAGCCAGTATAGAGAACAGTGTGCAGATTCCTTTAAAAAAAAAAAAAAACTAGAAATAAAACTACCATATAACCCAACAATCCCACTAATGGACACGTACTCTGAGAAAACCATAATTTAAAAACACACATGCACCCCAATGTTCATTGCAGCACTATTTATAATAGCTAGGTCATGGAAGCAATCTAGATGTCCATGGACAGATGAACGGATAAAGAAGCTATAGAACATATACAAAATGGAATATTACTCAGCTATAAAAAGGAACACATTTGAGTCAATTCTAATGAGGCAGATGAACCTAGAGCCTATTAAACAGAGTGCAGTAAGTCAGAAAGTGAAAAACACCGTGTGTATTAACACATGTAAATGGAATCTAAAAAGATGGCGCTGACGAACCTATTTGCAGGGCAGCAGTGGAGACGCAGACACAGAGAACAGACTCGTGGACACAGCAGGGGAAGGAGAAGGCGGGACAGACTGAGAGAGAAGCACTGAAACGCATCACCACATGTAAACAGATCGCCAGCGGGAATTTGCTATTCGTCTCAGGGAGCTCGAGTCGGCGCTCTGACAACCGACGGGGTGGGATGGTGCGGGTGGTAGTGGGGGGAGGTTCAAGAGGGAGGGGCATACGTGTACCTGTGGCTGATTCCTGTTGATGTTTGGCAGAAACCAGCACAATACCGTGAAGCAATTATCCTCCAATTACAAATAAATAAACCGAAAAGGACAAAAGAAACAAACCACAAAAAAAGATTCACTTGAAGTGACTTGCCTTTTAAAAAAATGAAATCTTAAGTACCTTTCACTCTCAGCTGTCTGCATGGTCTCTAGTTTTGAGTGAGTTCCTCTGTTAAATCCTTTTACCTCCTGTTCTTCCAATGATTCCAGCAATCGGATGACATCTTTATTCACTCCCCTGCGCTTTGCCAGAACTAGGGGTGTAGCACCTTGATGGTTGCTAGAAAGTTCATAAAAATAAAAATAGCTGTTACACTATACTGTTAGTAGCCATTTGTGGAGATCTCAGTGAGGAAGGCATGGGCCCCATTAACTCAAAATTAAAACCACAGCGGAACTACTGGTTGAGATGGAGCCTGAATTTTGAGTTAACCTTTTTTTTTTCTTTTAGGAAAAAGGAAAAATACATACATAATTAAGAGTAGATAAATGAGAATAAAGAAAAAAGGGCATCTTCCTAGAAACTAATTGGAAAAGTCTAAATTCTAGATTCATTTTTTTCTATATTCATTCTTATCTGACATTTATGTACTTCATGAGAACAGTATCTATTTTTTAAAATGTCTAAGAACTAAAAGAAAAAGAAAAATTCAAGCTCAAAAGCAATCAAATAATCTACTTTGGTTCACCTAACCATTTAACAACAGGAGAAAGCCCGACCAACACTGAATCCTATAGTTAATTCCTACCACATTATGTCCTATAGTAGCAGAACCATTTACTGTCTTATTCAGATTTAGGGACATTATAGCACCAATAAATTAGGTATAAAAAATGTAGCTTAAAGGTCAAGGTTTCTTTTTAAAGTGACCTGATATCATTCCCACTCAAGAGACAAGGTATCACACTAAAACAAAACAAAAAACACTACTTCTTCAAGTTGTTCAGTGTAAGAAGAACTCTGAGTCTAGAGAGATAATGAAGCTAGCATGGTATATTGCACGATAGAAGGCAAACGAGCTTTGGAACCAGGCAGAACTAGTTTTAAATTCCAACTGCGTTAAGTCATTTAACCCAGAATTCTTGTCTCAACTATTTCGTCTATAAAACGAATACTTAAGAGCTATTCATTCTGAAGATTCAATGAGCTAACACAGTAAACGCAGTGCCCAGGTCATAATAGATTTTCAACAAATGTTAGTTCTTCTTTTTCCCTTGTCTTGTAATACATAATTAATTAGTAGCAGAACCTAGCCACTATTTTCATAGAAAAATTTACACTGCTTCAGCACAAATCTAGAAGTCAGGCTCCTGTTCCCTCACTCATTGTCCTCAATACCTTTCTGAACTTGTCACTACACTTGATCAATGAGGAAACAAAATCAACAGATTCCAAGATTAGATTACCGGTTGAGAGGCTAATGGGAAGAAGTGACGAGACTTCAAAAACCACAGAACTTACCAAATATCAATTTTGAGTCCATTGGAAACCAAGAATTGAATAGTATCCACATGGCCACAGAGATGAAGAGCTGTGTTTCCCTGATAATCAGTGGCCAGGAGATCAGCACCAAATTTATGTAACAACTGGCAGATGTCTACATTTCCTCGGGCCGCTGCAAGGTGAAGGCCTGTTCTGCCCCTGCTGTCACGAATATTTGGGTCAAAGCCACTTTCCAAAAGCCTCTTGGAGTAGTTAAAGTCTCCATCAATACAGGCCTGTAGCAAGGGTACATTAGTCTGAGAAGAATCATTTACAAAAACGTAGGACATTGTTCGGATGTGGTGGATGGAATGTGCCTGTAAAGAAACATGAGGTGAGTTGAGATTCAGAGAAGCCGAACTAAATCAAGACAGTGAAGTCATTTAGAAAAGTACTATTTCTTATCCTTCCTGGTCTCCTGCCTCTAATAAATTACTTCACCAAACAGAAACAACATCAGAGTTATCAATTATATTTTATTTTCCATTAAAATGTCTAATTTTTCCCACATCTGCTGGATCAAAATTGCAATTAAATTATCATAAAGCCCTATTTCACTTTTCATCATATAAAAAGACTGAGATATTTTTAAAGTAAAGCAAGACATAAGTGCTTAGATTTAGCTTTATTACACTGTCAGAAGGTAAGTTCCTTAAACTTCAAAGAACTACCTACACACACACACATACACACACAGCAGTTCTCTTTCATATATTTCTTATTGTACTTGAGATATTCTATACGGTAAAACAGAATCACGTACTCAAAAGTTAACTCAATCAGCATGAAAAAAAAAGATTAACTTAATTCACACTCAATAAAGACCTGCTTGATGCTGTTTGGGGCTTCCCCGACGGCTCAGCGGGTAAAAAAAACTGCCTGCCACTGCAGGAGATGGCAGTAGATGTGGGTTCGATCCTTGGGCTGGGAAGGTCCCCTGGTGGAAAGCAGGGCAACCCACTCCAGTATTCTTGCCTGGGAAATCCCATGGACAGAGGAGCCTGGCCTGAGCGACTATCACTTTCACTTTCAAATGGTGTTTAGAGCACAGAGGTCAAATTTTAATAGAAAGAGAAAAGGTAAGGAAAGCAGCAAACTAAATTTTAAAAACCAGGCCTATCATGAAATTGAGAATGTCCATCTTTTTTACAGTATTGATCCTATTCTGCTTTGTTCTATGGTTATCCAGCTACTGATTTTGCCAAATTCCCACTGTCTGAAGATGGAGAGATGAGGTCTCCATGGGAGTAGCTGTGTCCATGCTAATACTGCACCCATCTGAGGAGACTCACTTCATCAACAGGTTTGTCCACACCTCTTTCACTGACACTCCCTGCCCCCAGCGATCTCTTGGGTCTCTCAGTGTGCATGCAGGTGTGTGCATCTCCACCCCACCTGCAACCATCTCTTCCTTGATTCATTTAAGAAAAAGCTAAAGCCTGACAAAAGAAACTTTACTAAGGAGTTAAAGAGAAAACAAACCAAAAGAAGAAAACAAAGGCAGAGACTGCTATGTTTGTAAAGATGGCTCCCAAGGTTACAAAAGCTTAGTCACAGATGAGCTGGCTTGTAATTTACCAGGCAAAGTCTTTCTGGAACACAGATGGAATTGGATGCTAGATCAATCTATTGTGCCTGACCTCACAGGGATTCAGGAAAGCCTGGCTCTGGAGTCCGGTGAGACTCTTGGCCGGTACCCCTTTTAGCCTGGTTTCCCACAGAGCCACTGCCCCTCTGGTCCTGGGCCATGTTAAGCTCTGCTGCTGCCACGGGGGCAAAGGGGAGGCAGTAACACAGACTGAGGGCCTGTTCTGAGCCAGGCACTGCATTAAAGGCTTCTAATGAATTTTATTTAATCTTCCTACTAAGTCCATGGGAAGATTTACTATACGTGATTTTAGTAGGAGTCACTGAAGCATTCTAAGTCAAGGAAATGGCACAGTTTTAGTATATCATTCTTTCAGAAAGATGATTTTGTTGGCAATATAAAGAGGTTGGATCGGAGGGGCTCAAGACTGGAGACAAGGAGATCAATCAATAAGTTACTGTAGAAATCCAAGCAAGAAATGAGGATAACCTGATCTAATACAGTGGCAGAGAGAAGGGGGCATACTGGAGGGGATATCCTAGATATAATTAACACAGATATGAAGGGTGAGAAGGAGCTGTTAAGGGTAATTCTAAATAAGGGGGAAATCTGATTATGATTAAGAATACAGAAATCAAGATAACATAAACTTCAGATTATGATACTATATAATACTTTTAAAAGAAACTAACCCAATGGGAAGATGTTACTCAAAAAACAGTCCAAAATTCTCTTTCAAGGGTAATCTCCCTATTTTCCCCTACAGTATTCATTAACTGGATCATAAAAAAAGACAGAGGTATCACAAACATCTTAAAAAATTAAAATACCATGTATCAAGGATTTTTCAAGAGGTAATGTGCTTTGGTTAAATTCTCTAAGAATAGATAATGAAAAGCAATCTACTTGGTTTTTTTGAACCAAAAAAACACTATGTTTTTTTGGTTCAAACACAGTAAGAATTCTTGTGGTTTTCAGACTGGGATTCTTTTGAATATTGGCTCAGTAAAAAGGGCAAGACTTTCTTGTCTATTTTTTGTGTGAGAATAAGCATGGTATATTTTGTGAATTTCTCTGTGTCCTTAAGAAACTACTAACCTCTAAATTTAATAAGCCTAAAGTCCAACGATAGATCACATTTTTCATCTTGGTCACAGAACTGAATATACCCAAAATCAAGACCACAGTTCACTGAAGTTTTCATATATTATGAAGAAGTCCACAGTAGAAAATACTCACGTAATCCTTAAGACTGGATCTGTCTTTGTCACGTGACAGTTTCTCTGAATTCTTAACAAGGTTCACCAGAATATCCAGAAAGGTGCCAGCAAGGAACTACAGTAAAGAGAAAATTCAGTTAAAACAAAGGACTTGCTGTTTTACTAAACCTAGACAATGTAGAGGGACCTGTAAATACTTTCTAGAAAATCTATGGGTAAGGCATCAACTTATGAAGTTGGCAAAGCCACTGAGGAGTAATAAAGTGGCAAAAGGAGCCCACAAACACGGTCAGAAAGACGAAAGAGTCTGATAATGTGCCACCAGCAGTGAAGAAAACTCACTGGACTGTGAAAATTCGCTCAAACTTACTGGAATTTGAAATGCATATTTTTCACATTAGAAATGGTGGCTGCATCTCAGGTTAGCCCACCAAAGCAATTTCAGAAATAAAATGCTATTTGCAGTGGGGGGGAAAAGTAAAAACAATCCAATATTTATGTTAAACCAAATAGGTACATTTAAGAAAAGAAAAATTTCTAATTTGTCTTGAATGCTGGTATACTTAAATCTCCTCTGAGATTGTTCCCCCATCTTTTCTTTTCAATGTGAAAGCAAACTGGCTCAGATCTAACTGCAGTCTTTTCCACCTGCCTGACCTCACCCCTCTCGCACCTGGGTGGTGCCCTATCTCTGTGCTTTCACCGGGACCCCCTCAGGTTTCCCCTCAGGGCACTGAGAGACATTTCCAGAGTCTTCTTTTTGACCATTCTCTCCTCTTGAAGGAACATGGAAGGGAGGGAGGTTATGGACAGGAAGTATGGACCACAAAAAATTAATAGTAATTTGCTATGCAAACATTTCTGTGTGCCAAAAATGTTCTAGATACCATGCAAAGTGGTAAAGTTGAAGTAAAGTCTAAATTCCAAATTTATAGCTCCAGCTGAAATTCATGACTTTTACTAGTCATTCAGGCTGTTATCAAGTCCCCGTAAGTAAACTTATATAGGAAAGTAATCAGTGGCATTTTAGGAAGCTCCCTTTACCAACGTAAGTTAGGTTGTATCATAAAGGCTATCAGTTCGAGGCTGGAAGTGAAGACAAGGGCTGACAAACTGCATGTGAGGACCAGTCCCGTAATAGTTCAGCAAATACCATGATGACACAGTAATACTCAAAACATCCACCCTTCTCGACTGTTCCCTAGTTTTCTGAGTCCGTAATACCAGTTTAGACAAACTTCATTTATCACTGAGCCACTCAATTGATTTCCTTGAACAAATAATCTGTGTTCACCCAAAGCTTACTATTTTCTGAGTCTCTTGTCCTGCCCACTGGAGCTGAGTGTTCATGACCAAAGCCTCTAATATATTAATATAAAATCTGCCTTTTTCAATGTTAAAATGGTACAGGGGTTATTTTGACTTTTTTAACATTTATATTGGGTTAGCCAAAAGGTTCGCTCAGGTTTTTCCATACAATCTTAACGAGAAAACCTGAATGAACTTTTTGGTCAACCCGACATTATGAAAAGGACAATTGCTGCTTTGTGATTGGAGACAGAATTATAGATTATATAGTTATGCACCCCTAAATAATTCAAATGTTTCCTTAAATTCACAAGAAAGACTATTTTCTGCCAGTTTCTTTTGATATGACAAGGACCCATAAGAAAATAAAACTTGATCAAATTATAAATTTACGATTTCAAACTAAATATTATATAAATGCATTAGACTTACTTACTAGAAACCTGCCAAGAAAATGTCAAAGATCCTAAATAAATCACTAGAAAGCTATTAATAGCTTCCCCTCAAAATAATAGAAATGAATAAAAATCAGGATATATATTAACTGTCGTCCGAAGGGTGAAGAGGACTAAATATTTTTTCAGTTAAATTTTTTGAGATAATTGTACATTCAGCTTCAGCTGTAAGAAATAATACAGTGAGATCCCGTGTGCCATTCAGTCAGTCTCCCTCATGATAACATAAGAGTAAAACTGTAGTACAACAAGAAGTTGTAATTCCTTATTTTAAAATAACACCGAATAAATGAATACGTAAGAATGTCATTTGTGTAGCACTTTAACAATTCTGTGTATCTGAAGTCTGATATCAAAGGTGGGCTTAATGAGGTTTAGATTTTTAAAGGCCTGGAGTCATATTCCTGCTGTTTATTTGCCTAGTAAGCTCTCCCCTCCCCTCCCCTGGCCGCCTTGCCTGGCTCATGGGATCTGAGTTCCTCCACAGGACCAGGGACTGAAGGTATTCATTTTCCCCATGTAAGGAAAAAAAAAAAGGAAGAAAGAAAGGTCTTCTTTGAGGTCATTTCTCTGGGTGCTGGAAGAGTAAGAGGTTATTTATGAAAGAATCTGTAGAACTCACCATGTGGAAGGGCTCAGCTGGAAGCCCTGTATCTACCAAAGGGAATGTGTCATGTGAACCATTTCACAAGCAGAGTTAGAGGCATTAATGTGTGGTA